TTTATATTAGTATAGCCTTACTATACCTGTATATAGTTATTTATTTATATTTTCGTCCTGCTCATACCTTTGTTTACATTTAAGAACCGTGGTAGCTACGCATATGAATATTAGTATATAAGCTAAAGATGGGTCCCGAAACCCAAACCTTCCTAAAGTTTTTAGGTTTAGGATATAGTATTAGCTAGTTTTGAATATAATATTTTTTACCTAAATCCCAAATCCCAAATCCTAAACTAAGAACCCAAATCCCAAACCAGTGCCAAAATCCCAAACCAGTGCCAAAATCCCAAACCAGTGCCAAAATCCAAACCAGTGCCAAAATCCCAAACCAGTGCCAAAATCCCAAACCAGTGCCAAAATCCCAAACCAGTGCCGAAATCCCAAACCAGTGCCGAAATCCCAAACCAGTGCTGAAATCCCAAACCAGTGCTGAAATCCCAAACCAGTGCTGAAATCCTAAACTAATACTAAAAAAAATCCAATCCGGGTTACCTGCAGGTTAATTGCTAGCCTACCTGGATAAGTACCTGGGTAAATTATAATCTGCAAACCATACTACGTATTTAATTGGTTGAGGTGCTATTATATAATATGTATAAGTACATGAATAGTACTGGACAGTAAATAGTACATACAGTACCATTTTTTATCCGGGTAGCAGAATCTTTATCTAGCTACACGACCTACATGCAAGTAACCCAGATACGGGTCCAATTTTTAAATAAAATCTTGGTTTTGTAATCTCAATTTTCTTCTAAACCAATCGACAAATTCTTGATTGTATTTGGCCTTTTTTTTTTTTGTTAGCACCTGCTCGTGTAATATGCTGTTTAACTTATAATCCTGTAATCAGAACTTCTTTTACAGTTCTATTGGTTAACAAGAACAATCAATGCTGAGGTTTTGTACAAACTAAACATTCATACAAATTGGACAAGCATTAAGACAAAGGTTTGATAAAGATAATTGAATCGACATTTTACATTATCTCTATCACTATGTGAGAATAAGTAGTACATGCGATACAAAAATTTCTCGATAGTACCGGATCAAAAGCTTGGCTGAATTAATTTCAGCTAAATTTTTATCAGTTGTTCCAGAATTTATGAGATCAGCTGTAAATAGAGATTAGGCCCGGTATAAAATTCAGCTCCAGGTTACTCACCCATTTATATAACTATTACCCGGATAACAACCCGATTTATCTGAGTAACCCGGTTGAACAGGTTATAATTACATAAAATTAATCAGATTTCTATCGCTATATCTGATTTTAGCTTTTAACCTAAAGTCAATTTATGCTAAGCTTAGCATAAAATGAATTCTTTTCATGCTAAGCTTAGCACAAACCAAATTTACTTTATGCTAAGCTTAGCATAAAACGAATCCGTTTTCTGCTAAACTTAGCATAAACTGAATTCGGATTTACTAAACCTAGAGTAAACTAAATTTGTTTTATAAAAAAAAAAAAATAGGAAGACATTCATATTATAAATGCCCTATTTTTTTTATTCGGTTATCCGGTTAGCATAATTATGACCCAATTGAAAGTTGCTTATATGGGCTACCCGGGTAATCCTTACTCGGGCTTAATCTCTAGCTGTAAGTACCAAAATCAATAACTTATCGAGTTCGGCTGATTTAATTTTTTGTGTCCCATAATTTGAGAATAGCTGCAATATAACTTATCGTTATGTATTATATAAAGTTTATGATTATTGTTAAACAATGAATAATAAATATTTGTCATGTGATATTGGGTGACAACGATCGTCATTAGTGTCCAGGGTTACTGCGGTGCATAATTATGCTCATGCTAAAAACATTGTGACATGTCTTTTATGAGAACAATATAAAAAATTATTTTTAGCGTGAGCAGAATTATGTACCACAGTACTCTGGACACTCTAATCATCATTACACTAGGGATGGTAAAAAAACGTTTTTAACATTTTTTATTGTTTTAAAACTTTTTTAAAACATCGACGTCTGATTCTAAAAATTAGCTGAAATTAAAATTATCGTCTCTGGTTGGCTAATTTTAGTTTCAGCTAATTTGATTG